CAGGCAGGCAGGCAGGTGAGCAGTTAGGAGCCAGCGGTCCAGGATTATGAGAGGGATGTCTGACTGCTGGTTTAGGCCCAATCCCCGGGATCGGGCCTTAACCAGCAGTTGGACATCCCCCAAGAGGTCCTGGATTGGAGAGGTTGCAGGCTGGCTGAGGGGACCCACCATGCACAAATTTTGTGCACCGGGCCTTTAATCTATAGATATAAAGAGCCAGGGTCCGTAACATCCGAAACAACCGGAGAAACGACTGAATACCAGGCTACGCCCTCAGCAGGCTCGGGTGGGCGGGGACGTGGCAGGAGGCAGCTGATAGATCTTTCTCTCTCCTTGATGTTTCTATCCCTCTTCCTTCCTCTCTGTAAAAAATCAATAAAATATATTTTTTTAAAAAATGGGCCTGAAGAGGCCTGGATGGAAGGGAGGGCAGAAAGAGGGTGGAGCTGCCCCCATTGGCTCCACCCCCTCCCAGCCAGGAAAGAGGAAGAGGGAGAGAGGGAGGCAGGGAGGCCTGGAGGACTGCTGAGAAAGACAGAGACGAAGAGAGACAGAGAGTGGAATGGAGAGATGGAAACAAAACAGACGGGGCCTGAAGAGGCCTGGATGGAAGGGAGGCCTGTGGGGGCCAGGGACTGAGATGTTCCACGGACCCCTCCCCAACTCACGTGTGGTGCTCAGGAGTGAGCAGGGGAGCCAAAGCCAAAAGAGAGACAGAGAGTGGGATGGAGAGATGGAAACAAAACAGACGGCCTGAAGAGGCCTGGATGGAAGGGAGGCCTGTGGGGGCCAGGGACTGAGATGTTCCACGGACCCCTCCCCAACTCACGTGTGGTGCTCAGGAGTGAGCAGGGGAGCCAAAGCCACAGCAGGGATGGAGGAGGGCGCCCTCCCCTCTGGAGACTCCCAGGATCTTCAGACTGCCTCCCAAAGGTGTCCCAAGTCCCTCTTCCTCTTCCGGCCGGCCGTGGTGGCAGTGAATCCTGGCACACCACAGCACCCGGGGCACCAGGAGAGAGAGTGCCCGGCACGCACACTCACAACCGCACAGGCACAGACACAGACACACGCAGTGCCCACAGCTCACAGCCTTTCTCCCTTTCTTTCCCTCACTCCCAGCTCCAGCTCTTGGAGTCTCTCTCAGAATGAGGCCTCAGGGCGGGCAGGGGTGGAGCTTCCCCCACCGGCCTTGGCCCCTCCCTGCTGCAGAAGAGGAAAAGGAAGAGGAAGAAAGGGAGGGAGGCAGGCAGGCAGGCAGTCAGGCCTGGATGGAAGGGAGGCCTGTGGGGGCCCGGAACCGAGATGCTTCACCGACCCCTCCCCAACTCACATGAGGTGCTCAGGAGTGAGCAGGGGAGCCAAAGCCACAGCAGGGATGGAGGAGGGCGCCCTCCCCTCTGGAGACTCCCAGGATCTCCAAACTGCCCTGCTCACTTCCTCTCACCCCTCCCAGGGCCTCTGCTCTGGATGGGGCCTTTGGAATCCAGGGCTCTGGGGTTTTATAACAGAGCTGGGGTGCGGAAGGGTAAATAGCACCAAAGATGGCTGATATAGCACCCACCTCTGCCTCAGCTTGACCACTTAGTTCAGCCTCAGAACACGGCACTCAGAGGGGATCCCTACTTCTCCTGCAATGGCTCTAGGGCCTCAGCCCCAGTGCCAACTCCTCTCCCCCTTGGCCCTCCCCACAGCTGGTGTTTGCTGCAGCTCCGTGTGCCTTACTTAACCACCCCTTCCTTCCTGTTCCTACAAAGGAAGCTGCATCTTTGTATGTTATACTCATATAAACCGTAACGTTTTGGAAAAAAAAAACAAAAACGATGACCAAGACAATGCCACAGTCAACGTTCAAAGTCCAGCTCAGGAGAACGGAGAGAAGGGAGAATTCCATGAGTTGGCTGATGCCAAGATATTTCTGAGTGATTGCCTGGCGTGTGACAGTTGTGTGGCTGCAAAGGAAGGAGTCCAAGTTTCTCAGCTGTGGTAAGGAGCAGCGAGCAGGCAGGCAGTAAGGAGCGAGGGGTTCCAGACTGTGAGAGGGATTTCCAACTGTCGGCTTAGGCCCATTCCCCAAGGGAATGGACATAAGGACATCCCCTGAGGGGTCCTGGACTGCAAGAGGGTGCAGCCTGGGCTGAGGGACACCCCTCACCCCCATGCACGAATTTTGTGCACCGGGCCTCTAATTATTTCATAAAGGACTTTGCATTCATTTCCTCGCATTTGCTCCAAACAACCTTGTGAGGTGAGTGCATGTATGTCTCTTGCCTTTGACAGCCCAGGGAAGCACAGTGCGCGCAGGCGGAGGACTTACTCGGGTCTCACACTGTGGGCGCGGTATGTGGACGCCGGGGACCCTCCCTTCACTTGGTCTGCCTTTTGCTTCTGCGCTGGGTCCCCACACGTAAAGGCGCGTCTCTCTACTTTGGAGTTTCAGGCAGATGGGATGAGGCGGCCTTGAGCCAGGTTTCCAGAGTCCAGGCCACACTGACCGCCGTCTGCTGCTCCGTGTGGACAGAGGACAAAAGGCTTGATAAATGAGTAACCGCTTACCACCAGGCAGGAGGAGGCACAGAACTATTTGGGTTTCTCCTCCCAATTAAACCTATGATGGTCCACAGCTCTGAGGAAAGCGTGTATTTACTTGGCACCGGACCTGGTCCAGGCACGGCCCTACCGCCCTTGCTTTCTTTTCAGTCGTTGTGATATTTACAAAGCAGGGCATGACCCTAAAAACAAATACACCAGCCCATCTCACACACCAGCACTTCTCAGACTTCATGTGTCCCCAAGTCCTGGGGACCCATCTGATTGCCGATTTGGGCTCCGTAGGTCTTGGAAAAGGCCCGACCGTCTGAGTTCTAGCCACACTCCCAGGAGGCGCTGCCGCGCGGCCACCGCTACCTGCCAGTGCCCGGTCCAACTTGAGTAGCTCGTGGCAAGGAACCCTCATCCAGGTCCCGGTGGCTCTTGAGTTCCAGGCAAGGCTTTTGACTGTGGCTCCTGGCCCGCTGACTTGACGTCTGGCGGTTTCCAGCCCTGGCCTCTGTTTTCATCCCCGGATGACCCCCGGTCGACAAACACAAAGGGCCACGGCCACGTGTTGAATGGGCACAGTTTCGGTTTTGCGAGATGAAGCAAGCCCTGGAGTGGATGGCGGTGATGGCTGCTCAGTGCTGCAGATGGACTTTAAACGGTCCATGTGGTGTTATGTACATTTCACCACACATTTTAAACAGAGAAAGGGGATTGCATTTATCCAGTTTCAAAAAAAAATCATAAGCGCCACACACGGGTAGGTTGTGTTCATTCAGCTGCCCCCAACTCGGTTCCTCTTTTCTTAAAATATTCTTTTGATCCACCTTCTGGACCAACAGAGGGGCCAACCCTAAAGCCTCAGACTTGCCCATGGGCTCCAGAGCCTCGCTGGGCTGGCCTCGCTGGGCAGGCCTCACTGCACGGGCTGTGTTCGCCACAGAAGCTCTCCCACCATTGGAGAATTCAGATACCAAACTGTGACTGCACCCAGATAAGGGTGATAGATTTTATAAATAACACATTTTTTAAACGGAATGTAGGCAAAGAGGTTTGCTGAGGTTTCTGCAGGCCACGGCTGTAAGGAGGAACCTGGCCCCTGGGGGGCGGCAGCAACATTCAGGGGGTGGAGGGCGTCCAATGGGCAGATGCCACCTTCAGGGAAAGCCTGGGCTGGACTTTGCCCAGGGAGTGCCCCTGGTGCCCACCGGAGACTGCCGCTGGGGTGCTGTGGAACTCACTGGAGGCGATACCCACTGGTATTCCACCCCATGGCTGCTGAGCAGGGGTAGGAGCAGGAAAGTTCATACCAGAGCCTCCTCCCCCTGCAGTGCGCCCTCTACTGGCAAAGCTCAACATGGAGCCAGGCCCAAAGGAAAAAGGTCAAGAGAGTCCAGCTCCGAGGTCACAGCCGTGCACTCAAGGTCAAGCACTCAGGGTGGATTTGAAGCTGAGGTGCAGCGAATGGAGACCTGGCACAGGGACAGAGCCTTCGTGGTTGTGAGTCTGGGAGTTCTTTTACTCTTCTTGAACTCTTCTCTGTGTTTGAAATGATTCCTAAGTTTAAAAAGTTAACTGAAACTGGACAAAATAAGACCTTAGGGAGGATGATTTTTTTCTCTTTTTTCACTTTAAAAATTGCACTGGACTCTAAAAGAGAATTTGATTCTGGATTTTGATGCTTTTGGGCTTTAAAAGAGTTTGATTTCTTTGAGCTTTTAACTCACGAGGGCAGCACAATTTGATTTCGGACTAATTCCCTTCAACTTTAATTTGCAAGGAAATCGAATCTTAATATTTCTCCCTGGGAAGTTTGCCATGGGAGGCAGTTTATATGCAACATGGCCTCTTCCTGTTGGCCTTTTAGTATTGGACTATCTTTATGCTAAATCTTGATCTCACTGCAAAGTCTCTGAGGAGATATTGGCTGTGGCTTAATAGCAGCTGGGATGGGGAATGGGAGAAGACAGGCCTTGGGGTTCATTAATGTACTGATCTGGCCCATTCTGAAACCTTTTGGTGGCAAATTTTTGCTGCCCAGCAGCAGACCCAGGACACAGAAGTGACTGGCACTGACCAGCGATTGGGTCAAGCTGAGAGCAGGGCTGTTCTGCTAGAGCAGTGGTTCTCAACCTTCCTAATGCCGCGACCCTTTAATACAGTTCCTCATGTTGTGGTGACCCCCAATTTCATTGTTACAAATTGAACATAATTAAAGCATAGCGATTAGTCACAAAAACAATATGTAATCATATATGTGTTTTCCGATGGTCTTAGGTGACCCCTGTGAAAGGGTCGTTCAACTCCCAAAGGGGTAGCGACCCACAGGTTGAGAACCGCTGTGATAGATGGTTGATTGCCCCCTGCTGACACGGACTTAAAGGTCAATGCATTATTGAAGGAAGGCTAGGAAGCACTAGAAGGGCCACTCACTTCCTACTCCTGTCTCCATGTGGAGGGATTTCGTCCAAGCACACGCCTGGCCTCTCTCCGTGCTCTTGCTGACCAACTCCAGGGGAGCATGGGCAGCTTTCATGGTGGGCAAGTTGGCCGGAAGGAACTGACATTGACTTGGATCCGCTGGTCTTCTGAGAGCACTCAGGGTGCTGTGCTCCCACGCTGTGCGGGGCTGGCCTGACATCGTCCTGTATTGCATGTGGCAGGGGGCGAGGGCCGTCTGGTTCAGGAGTGAAGTATTAGCAGCCAACTTGGTCAACTAAAAGCCGCTTCCCTCCGCAACTTCAATCAAGTGGGTACTTTTCCCTCCACCTGCCCGCCTCCTGGTCCACTTCATCATTGGATCTAAGCTTGGATGGGAGAAAAGGAGGTGCTATTTAATAGCCCCATGAACCCCAACTTGTTCAAATTACCTTCATTTTTGAAATTGGATTGTCTACATTAGTGCTGTCCAATACAACTATAATGCAAGCCACGTATGTAAGTGAACATTTTCTATAGTCACATTATATTGTATTTAAAGCAGTATGTGATCAATTAAAATTATTAACATGATCAATTAGATACTTTATATATTTTCCCTTCCTAAGTCTTTAAAGTCTAGTGTGTATTTCACACTTATAGCACACCTTAGCTTGGACTTGCCACATTTCCAAGGCTCCACAGCCACACGATTAGTGGCTGCCATATTGAGCAGTACTGGTTTGCATGAGCTTGTCTATCAGAGAAAGGAAGGCCAGTTTTGCACTGTGATTTTGTGTAGCTGCATTGTGACCATGAATTAAGAATACCTCTCCTGAACAGACTGTCAAACTTCAGAGAAAAGGCGGGGGAGGGTGGG